AAATAGCTAAAGAAGCACCTTCCGCTGCTTGTTCAGCATAATCAAGACCGTCAATGAATACATCAGAACAACCTTGATATTGTAAGCTACGTGCACCTACGCCAGCTGCTATACGAACATTTTCCTAAAAAATTTTTAATATACCATAAATTACGGACTACTATATACTGCAATGACAGACTATTATATTGTGCATAATAGCCCAGAGAAACACGGAATTTTTTTACTACATGAACTACGGAGCTACAACTACTATTTTTACTACAGTTTAATGTCAATATGTATAAAGTTTGGTATCCCTGTAGTGCAATTTGGCGATTTGGCTCTTCATTTGCTAGGCTTACGTTTATTATGGTGTCGAAGTCGAAATACATGGTATCGAAGTCGAAATACATGGTGTCGAAGTTCTGGAAAACCTCTATCATAAAGATGGAACCTACATTCTTCATTCACTTTTTTTTTGTATTTTATTTAGTTTAAGACAACCGGCTATCAAATAGGTATATGAAGAAATTTTGAAATACAACACGAGAAAAGCTTTTTCCTATTCTTGACTGGTAATTTCTACTGAATGGTAGTAGATGATTTTTGCTCCAAAAGAAAAAATTATAAAAATCAATGATAAATATGGGTTGGACATACTTTTATTTTTAAAAAAATTCCATCTGTCTGACCTATTATTACTATATAAAAATTGGTTACAAACTAAACTAAAATTCTTGTCTTTGAAAATTAAAGTTTATGTCAAAGAATTTTATCATTTTGATAAATTTTTTTTGTTATAATAAAAAAATACTTTTATGCCTGTTTACTATTAATGACTGTTACTCACCATCCCTTCGTCAATCATCTCCATTTCATTAAAGCCCACGTTTTGTGCACCCACGCCCACAAGAGCAATGGATCTAAATTCAGGGTCGATATTATTAAACACTTTTCCTTTACCTACAGCACCCGTTATATTCCATCTATGCAAATATACATAAAGGGTACATGTCATTATTTATATATATACGTATATAATTTTATATAGTCAGCTTCATGCAGTATTTAACTTACGCCCTTATAAGATCCATGATTTTTCCATTGACTCGATCATTAAATTTCTCAGCAGTAGCGCTTAACTTGGGTTCAGCATCCCCTTCGCCTTCATAGACCCCAAGTACTAGTCCTTTCTAATTATTTATTGGAACAATTAATTATAAAAGTTTGCAATAATATTATATATGGTTAAACTTACAATTATTTTATTATCGGACAATGTGGAAGCAAATTGTTTCCATATACAATGGTTCGCCCGCCTACACAAATCTTTTTCCAAAATTTTGAGGTATTGAGAACTAAGCGGTAAAGCCATTATAGAAAAATATCGACAAGCGTACTTTCAATCGATTTTATAAAATATATTTATCAATTGATCTTTTCTTAAAATTCTGTAAACGCAAAATGACAAAAATAAAAATTTTTATTTCTATATTTGATTCAATTGACCGAACAAATTTATTTGAAAATGTCGATGACAACTAAGATCTTTTAAAGTGTTTTTTTTATAATTAAATTTAGTTAATATTGATAGTCTCAATATAGTGATAAAATATGTAATAGTAATATAACAATACATACATAATATCAATAATATGCTTTATTAACAGTGCTATGTGGAATGTTATATTTATTTATTATCAATAATGCTTTAAAATGCCAGTATTAAGATTTTTGCCAGCTTTTTGCCTGTCTATATAATTTTTAATAATGTTTTTCATTGGCCGACTTCAAATGTTTGTGGAAATAGAGTGAACGAATACTTCCGGATGTTTAAATTTTTATATTTAAAATATGATACATCATATCATCAACATATGGAAGAAAGTTGCAAGTGAGTTGATAACTTCAGCTTATAAAACCGGAAGTCGGGTGAATAATAGTTAAAAGGAATTAGAGAACTTATTGTAGCTATGGGTGCCACATATTTCATAATATTGCATAAGTAGGTAGAATGAAAAAAGTCTTTCACATTTATTGACCTTCACTCAAAAAAAAACCATCAAAAATAAAGTCCCTGAAACTTGGAACTTAAACATTTTGGTTTGAGAGAGATACAATAATTCTTGTACGATTCTATTTAAAGTTTTTACAAACAAAATTTCAACAACTATCCAGTATCTATTTAATTTCAATAGAAACTAAGTATATTGTACCATTGGTTTCAGCCTTGTGACGCAAGTAAACATAACTTCTCTCCTTAATTCATCTCTTCTGATGTGAGCAGTCATTTCATATAAACTATCAATATATTTGAAAAGAGCCCGTATATCTTAAGTTAGCGCCTTTCTTTTTCGAGCAGTCTTATGAACATATTTTGCATATACATTGCATATATCTTCAACATAATCATTAATGATTTCTGGTCAGAGAGACTGCGGATACTTGCATCGTTAATATTTTGAACCAGAAGAAGACCGAGGGTGTTTACGGAGCAGTACAATATTTCCAAGTAAAATATGTGAAACAAATTAACTTAAATGAAAAAATAAACTTACTTGTTACTAATTAGGTACTTCAATAGTAGGAGTTGAAATTAGAGAGTAAAAAATATACATTAACATCAATTCTTTAAAAGAAGCACCTTTTATCTTTTAAATATACTTTTATTTTGCAATTGAACTTTTTCAGTTCCTGTATCACAAAATCTATAGCCGATGATAACTTATTTCTATTTGAAATAAAAAAAATTTGACATTTATGGATGTTGCATACCTGAAATATAATTAATATTGCCTTGCTTAGTTGTTAATGCTAATGGTTGCATTTAAGCATTGCCAGACCTATTAAATATTATAATACATAATACATAAAAAAATAAATAAATTTATTTCATTAACAAAATTATAATAAAAAAAAATTGTATATTACTTTTAAGTGTGAATATTATATTATTTAATAGCCGTAAGTTTTTCTTTCAGAGTAGCAAAAAAATACTCACAACTTACGAAAGAAGAAATGTAAAGCAACAATAATGCTCTTAAAATCTTCAGAGTTAGGTTTTACTCGCAAAAATATTTAAGTTCTAGTGCAGTTAAATTCAAAAATTATTTTATTATGTATATTTACTGGAAATAAGCTGCAAAATTCTAGTCCTCCGTTAAAATCACATGAGCATTTTATTTACTAATAAATTCAAATACAAATAAATAAATTAATTAAAGAGGTTTTTTCGAACAGTAGTGAACTACAACAACAAAAAATTTTATTTTTATATTATTTTAATTAATTGAATTTTTGGCTGATCATACAGATGTTTTGAGTATTGTCAAATATCCATCATCAGTGGTCTTGATAATAATTCTTGTATTTAATTATTCGTAAATAATTTTTTGAGACTGTAAGTACCAGGAATCGTACTTGTGCCCTGCCAAATTTGAAGCTGAGAGTCAGTGCACCTTAACCAAGTGATACAAAATCAACTTGACTTTTATTATCATATATTTTTCTGAATTTTGTTAATTTACTGTGAAAGTTTTATTTACATATTCAATTGCTGTGTTTATATTAGAACGAAATGTTAAACCAGCTGTAGAATAATTGAATTGAATTAATTAATTATATTTCTTAATTTTAATTGTTAAATTTTAATACTAAATAAATAAATTAATTTAAATATATAGGATAAGAATGTCATTGCACTTCTAATGTTAATTTTGTGTTCTTGTATTAAAATTAGTTAATTTTTAGTGTTTACACTTTTTATAATTTATATTGTATATAACACCACAAAAAACATATGTCAAATATAAGCAGTTGACGTATATAAAAAGTGTTGCCAATTTTTTTCAACCAGACTTAATGCTGTTTTTTTAAAACTCTGAAAGAAAAAAATACAACTAATAATACATCAAATTATATTATCAATGTATTGCTACCTCTCTATTGCTTAACATCTTTTAATACTTTAATATTGAATGGTATCACTGAACTACTAAATTGTAAATTTAAGAGTTTCAAAACATTGTAAGTTATTGAAAAATTGTTTAAAGGAAGAATTAAATGATATTTATTATATATATAAAATGGATGTTGTGTCTAAGGTCAGCGCATATGAGTTATGTTAATTCAGATTTTTGCAATGTAAATGAAAAATTTGAAAATGATAGCAAGAGAGAAATTTCGATTCAATTTTGGCCATTCTAACAAGACATTCTATAGGGATCATATTATGCAGAAAGTCATGGACGCATCAAAATTGGCTCTTTTGCATGTTATGCAGAGTAGCACAGAAATTGTATTAATTTGCACTTAAAAGACACAAATGTTGGCATTTGTTACTGAACAACACTGCTACGATTAAGGGACATGTTATGATTGCAGTCACGTGGTGGCAACTCTTGTTGCTTTCAATACAAAATGAAGATTTGACACTGATAGCTGACTTCATATAGTTTCTTTCTCACACACAATTTTACAATTTGCATTCAAAGCAACAACAATTTTGCTCATTACGAGACCATGACACTCTACATAACATAGATGGCCCTAAATTAACCACTTCCTAATACTATGTTCAGACATACCCTAATTTCATAAAAATCTTAATTTCAACTTCGTTTCAGTGAAATTAAGTTGATTTTTCTATCTAAAATTCTGTTTTAAAGTTAGAATGAAATTAAGGAAAATGGCCTTAATTTATAGATAATTATAGATAAGCTTATAGAACTATTGAATGCCATGCTTTATATTTATAATAATCAACTTTTAAAATTTCCCATTATTTACATTCGATTTGTAAAAAAAAACATATGATTTTCTTAATTTGGGACAGCATGAAAACTTTCGAAATTAACTTAATTTCATTTTTAAGAAATTAAGGAAATTTGGTTATCTGACAGTTTTTTTCTATATTCAAATTTAAAAATTTGCAGTACTTTTAAAATATTTTACCGATTTTATTAAACTCAACTGTCGTTAACATTTATTTAAAAAAAATATCACTACGTGATTACCTCAACTTTATCTTTTGCTTAAAATTTATCTAACGCATAGTTGCATTTGAAATGTCCTTTAATTTCAGCCTTCGTTTCAATGAAATTAAGGTCATTTTGCTTAATTTCGTTCTAACCTTAAAACTGAGTTTTGTACGAAAAAAAAAATTAATTTCGCTAAAACAAAGATGAAATTAATATATTTGCGAAATTAAAGTGTTTATGGAAATAGTATAAGATTTACAAAAAAATTGACATTATTTCTGCAGAAACAAAAAAAAATTTTTTGACAGAAATGTCAAACACATATTACCAAAGATAGCTTTGAAAATTTTTTCAATTAGAAAAAAAATTACTTTATACTATTTTTTTATAAAATTATTGAAGCTTTACTGATAACAACAGATACTTTTTCTGTTAAGTAACTTGGAATTTAACTCTTCTCATACATCTAAGAAATTCAAAATTAAAAGTAAAATGGGTTTGGAAATTGAACGTTTTACTTCAGATACGGCGGGACAGTATTTATGTGGAATATGTCTTGATGTGCTACAAAGACCTGTCCAAAGTGTTTGGTGTCGTCACAGATTTTGCACAAACTGTATTTTGAAATGGATACGCATTTGTAACGAGTGTCCATACTGTCGTCGCACATATATACCAACATATATAAGTTCGTTCGCTCTATCTGGTCCATGGGTTATAAGATATTCGCAATTAACATTGCAGTGCCGTAATGCAGTTAATGGATGTCCAGAGATTATTCAGATACGTGATATAGATGAACATGAGGCAACTTGTCAGTTTGACAAGTCTTTGTCAAAAGTCTTTACGAGATTCATCTACCGTATTGTAAAAAGATTTGCTGCTCTTCATCAACAAATTAACAACGATGAGCTGGCACTGCTGTCTGCAAATACAATACGTTGTGGTACTGAAGAGCGACGTTTACTAAACCTAAGTCTTTTGGAGAGAGTCTATATATACATCGGGGTTCGTGCAAAATTCGCATACACCATAGTACGATTCATGTATTTTGCTATGAGGAACCTGTTCTAACTTGACATTTTCGCCGTATCTGTTGTTCTCCGTCGCCCATTTTACAAAACAATAAAACAATAAAGGAAATACATATATTTATATAATATATATGTGTTATGATGTGTTGCTGTATATGTCCTACATTCTCCAACAGCACAAAACCACCGGATATTTTTATACATTCGAGAAGATTTCTGTTTAATTTTTTTTGTAGTAAATATTGTTGATTTAATAAAGTAACCTGTTGAATATAATTTTTCACTGCGTTTTTAACTATATGTTTAAATATGTAAGTTACTTTTTTATAAGGTAATATAAATTTTAATTATGGAAGATAAAAGCCATAATGCATTTTTTTAATTAACAAATAAATAATGCGTAATTTTCGACCTGGCCTAGAAAAA